AGTTTTATTACGAAACTCTCGATTAATAATTAGATCAGCCTAAACCTTGGTGAATTTCTCTCGACTGGATAATAAATATAAATAATATCGATAAGTATACTAATTATTCTTACCTGGAACTGTCCTATATAATGCACCACTTGGTCCTATATATAAAAATGTCAAATGAAAGGCCTATTATCACATGGACATTTATAATGATAGCCAAACGTTTCGATCAGAAGAACAATCCTTTAATATGGATTAACTTGGAATTGCAACAGCATTTGGATTATTGAAAATTCTGATAGAGTGGTGAAATGAAAAATTTACACCAACTGTCTTGACACTACCCATTAATTCCAATTGGGCTTTCCCATTGAAGTTCAAGGTCCCAATTGGTTTTAGTCCATCCCATTGGGGGCCAATCGGTAAGGCCAATGGGAACGAGTGACTTTTTTGTACTGTGTTGGAGGACCAATTGGAAAAGGACCAATGGTCTAGGATTCCGATTGAACACTTCCGAGTATTCTATTGAAACCTATTGTATTGGATAATGGGTTACACCAACTGGGGCTAATTTTTCAATTGGTGTTACTGGTTTTTTTTACTGGGAGTGCTCACATTGTACATGTGCTTTACAAAAAAAAAATAGGTGTCATGGAGATATGGCCTGTAAGAATTGTAGTGAAGGTAATCGTAGTGAAAGCAATGGAAGAGGCGCTGGGGTACTTGATTTTGACAATGGGCAAACTTTTTACAACGAAGACAATACAGCTCTCTAGAAAAAAAGGCAGCCCAATTCCGCGGTTTTTGTCAATTTTTTCATTGTGATAACTATAAATAGACACTCTGCATTGCTTTTCGTCGCTGTCATGATCTGTGTATAGTCAAATTGGATAACGTTTGTACGCGCATTGTATGCTTCACAAGTAGATGAGAGGGCCCTTTTCGGACACCTGAAGAATTTTCTGGCTGCAGAATATCCCATACAACTGCAATTTTTGGCAGTGCTAAACATTCCTGCCGAGTACTCATATTTACTGGGAGCCAGGAAATCATATTAAATGAGATTGTATCAATATGGCCCTGCTGTACATGAGCAGCAAGCTATTGCATAGTTTCCACTAATATATTTTCGCCCCTCATTCAGCTGCAGTAGGGTATGAACCAACATACTTTGTACTGGTATATTGCAGAAAGCTTGTGGAACCAGGCCCTGTAAAATGCGCAATGGTCAGCCAAATTACTGAAGAATGTTGAATGCAGAACACCCAAATGTACTTGAAGCCTTTCATATTGCCATCATTAATGAACGAGCCACTGTGGCTCATACTCGTTTTTGGTCTGCGAAGAAGAAAACATCTTTGTTGCTCTGGTTCAAGTGAACTCCTGGCTGCAGGTCTTGTTTTGCTCGTGACATTACTGGTGGAGGTGCTGGGTACGTGTACTTCGGCCGTGTCGGCCATCGTGGAGACAGCTACATCTCCCAGAGCAAGAATCAGCCGCCGCCTGCGTAGGTTACCCCCTGAATTTGGTCCCTTGGCATCGATAACCAGAAAGATGGCAACTTCGATGACAAGCCAGGCGGTCCAAACCAGCGATGCCCATGGTTCTCTTCTCGCGCATGTTTTTTATGCGCCACAGACACCAAAGCCGTTCCATGGAGACATCTTCGAGGATGTTGATGACTGGCTCGACCACTTTGATCAGGTTGCCAGTATCAACGAATGGGACGATGTTTGCAAGCTGCGCCGAGTTTACTTCTACTTGGAGGATTCTGTGAAGACGTGGTACGAGAACCACGAGGGCTCCTTTGCAACACGGCAAGAGTTTAGCCGACAGCTCCGTGATGCCTATCGCAACACCGAGAGGAAGGAGAGGGCTGAACAAGCCGTATCCTGCAGAAACCAACGGCCAAACGAACGTGTATCCATGTTTGTCGAGGACATGCTTCGGCTCTTCAAGCGTGCGGACCCTGCCATGCCCGAGGAAAAGAAGGTGCGGCATTTGATGCGCGGAGTAAAAGAACAGCTTTTCGCTGGGCTCGTGCGCAATCCACCGACGACAGTCGCCCAGTTCATCGGTGAGGCAGTCACAATGGAACGTACGCTGCAGCAGCGGTCGTCACAATACGAACGCCACATCTCGGCCACCACATGCTCTATCGGCTCTGACAGCGAGAAACAGGCCCTCGCAGACTTCATTCGAAGTATTGTTCGGGACTAATTGCGACAGCTTCAGGCAGTGGGATCCCATCCACCTGTGTCAGCCCTCGCGGATGTAATCAGACAAGAAGTTCGGTATGCCGTCACACCCCTGGCCCCAATCGCACCACCGATTCCCGAGGCCCCAGTCCTGACATACGCAGCGGCATTGCGATCCCCTGCGCTACCGGCTGCAGATACTGCTATGCGGCCAAGGTACCAGGCTATGCAGCCATTCCACGACACTGCTTCGAGCCCGCCTCTCGGCTCAAGGTTTTCGAGCACACCCACCTATCTGCCGTCTATCTCAAGACAAAGTGGTAGCAAGGCAAGCACGTGGCGCACCTCGGATAACCGTCCGCTCTGTTATCACTGTGGCGAAGCGGGTCACGTATACCGGAACTGTCAATACCCGCAACTAGGTCTTCGCGGCTTCCACCCTGATGCTTGATGCCCGCGCTACGGTGAGTGCCCCCGCGAAATCTAAGCCTATCTCACGGGCCAGCGTACTCCTTCGACTATTCAGCACCACCAGTCGAGATCACCATCGCCTCGCTGGTCTACGTCACCCAGTTTGCCCTCATCGTCTTCCGGTCCTTTCAGGAGCCAATCACCAAGTCCCTGCAGCGGAAACTAGGAACGGCGACTTCTGGGGGTGAAGTGGCGACCCGGCGAACTGTAAAAGGCCCTCCTTCGACGCAAGGACCGGTCGAGGACGGTTCCGGTTTTGCAGTGTTCTCCGACAGCAAAAAGATTGTTTCTGCCGAAAGTGCTGTCTTCGTCGACAATCATGCTGTTAATGCCCTCGTCGACACCGGTGCCGACTATTCCATAATGAGCGCTACACTGGCATCTGAACTGAGGAAGGTTACCACGCCATGGCAAGGACCCCAGTTGCGCATGGCTGGTGGCCATCTGGTGACGCCTACTGGTATGTGCACGGCACGCATTCGAATACGTGCGTCGGCATTCGCGGGCTCTTTGCTCGTATTGCACGTGTGCTCTCGGCCAGTCATTCTAGGAATGGACTTTCTTCATGAATACGGCCTCGTCATCGACCTCCGTGAATTACTTGTGTCGTTTGAGGATCCTTTTTGCGCTGCAACTGACAGTACGCAATTCCGGAAAAGAGCGCTGTGTGTTACCGACGATTCTCTGACTCTCCCACCTCGAAGCAGCCTCTTTGTCAAAGTAGAATTGGGACAGGACGTGTCTGATGCGGTAATTGCAGAGGCCAATTTGTCTCTCCTTATTTTATGACAAATCTGTGTTGCCGAAGGAATCATTCAGCCTAGCAATAGGCATGCTCACCTGCTGGTCACGAACTTCAGTGACGAATATCGCCACCTAACGAGAGACACTGCCATTGCGTATTGTGAAGAACTTGCCGATGCCGATGGTCCGTCCACATTAGCTTCATTTTCATCGAATGGCCACCCTGACGAGGCCTTCGCGAGCACTCTCGACGTAAACGAGAGACTACCTTCGGCTCAAGGAGAAAGCCTTTTGCGTATACTCGGCTCATTTCAAGACTGCTTTGCCACTATGTCAAAGGTTAAACAGACACCACTTGCTCAGCATCCCATCATCACGGAACCCACCGAGAGACCCATCCGACAACATGCCTATAAGGTGTCGCAAAAAGAGCAAGACGCTATACGTGACCGAGTCCAGCAGATGCTTCAGGACGACGTCATTCAGCCATCGACCAGTTCCTTGGCTTCGCCAGTTGTGCTAGTAAAGAAGAAGGACGGTACGTTGCATTTTTGCGTTCATTACCATAAACTGAACAAGGTCACCAAAAAAGACGTTTATTCTCTACCCAGGATAGATGACTCGTTGGACCGTATACACAACGCTAAATATTTTTCCCCCATGAATTTGCGTAGCGGCTACTGGCAAATCGCAGTGGACAAGCGCGACCGCGAAAAGACGGTGTTTATTACTCCCGACGGCCTGTACGAGTTTGAAGTGTTGCCTTTCAGTCTATGCTCAGCGCCAGCTACTTTCCAAAGAATGATGGATACGGTTCTTACGGGGCTCAAATGGCAATCATGTCTTGTTTACCTTGATGACATCGTGGTCTTTGCAGACACGCTTGAACAATACGTCCAACGCCTTCATGCAGTTCTTCAGGCAATCAGAACAGCGGGGTTGTCTCTCAAAATGTCATTTTGGATAGGAAGAACTGAAGTTCCTTGGTCACGTTGTGAGCCATGCCGGCATCCGCCCAGATCCGGAGAAAACCCGCGCCGTTGCCACCTTTCCTGTGCCCACAAATAAGCGCAACCTACGCCGATTTCTGGGGCTCTGGCGTATTACAGGCGCTTTGTCAAAAACTTCTCGAACATTGCTGAACCCCTCAACAAGCTTACAAAAGACGGTGTCTCGTTTGTTTGGGGTCCCGATCAGTGCCATGCCTCTGGAAAGGGGCCCTCGATATTTAAGCTATTCTTAGCAATGCATCAAAAAACACATTGTAGTTATGGCAGCAGTGGTACCACATGCTTGGTCAGAATGGTTGATTGGGTAAGTTGGCGTGCTTCCATCATAGTGAATGATGGTATGTTTGTTGTTTCTTTTTGTTGTCCTCATTTTTTTATGCTGTTTATTCGTTAAAATACTGGCATCACATCTTCTCAGCTCCTTCATTGTTTCTCTTTACAGATTCATGAATTTTAAGACAAGAAGCAGTTGACTTATATGATTGCTTGGTAGGATTCAGCCCTATGAAAAATGAGCTGTGAATGAGATACTGATGTTGTCCTAAGATTTAGTAAGCCATTTGCAATTATGACCATTGCATTCAAACAGGCCAAACCAGTGCCTCGCTACCAGTCTACCTGGTGGTGTGACCGGTTCCTCGGAAAATGGCCTCGGCAGTCAGGGTCCCAGTGATGAAGACGCAGCCCAGTCGTCCATCTCGGGCAAACCGGTGGGCACGGTACCACCCTTTCGCACGGTGGCAGCCACCGACAGCAAGCCGACAGCTGGAACCGGTGGTGCCGGTGTCGGTGGCCACGAAAGAGCTGTGGCAGAACTGGCATCGCTGTCGGGCAAGCTGGTCCGTATCCATTCACTCATGCAGGCTCGTGTTCAAGAGCGGTTGCGCACTGATCACGAACAGATGTAAGTGTGAGCTGGTACCTACTCAAATTTATTTATTTCTGTTTAATTACACTATGGGCATTACTTGGGGGGGGGGGGGGGGGTGCAAAGGTGCGTGGCTGGACACAATGTATCTGCACAGAAAACATATCAGAGCAGTTAGCACCTGTATGGGGATCCAATAAAGATTAGCAGAATGATTTTTTTTTTTGATCATGCATGTTGTCTCTAAACACCAGCTTATGTGCTTTTATCAACCACATGCTCACGCTGTCATGGTGGATGCAGGAACACAATGGAAAAGCCTCAATAAAGGGTTTGATTTCCCAATAGAAAAAACTTGTGGCAAGAAAAGTAAACAATACATCAGTGTGACGGGGTTCTTCCAATAATAAAGATATGAGAACAAGTTGCGTTGGGGGCAGCAACATTCTAAAAGAACTGGCAAGGCTGTTTTTGTTTTCTTTTCGCTTTAAGCATCATCATCATCATCAGCCTGGCTACGTCTAATGCAGGACAAAGGCCTCTCCCTTGCTCCGCCAGTTAACCCGGTCCTGTGCTTGCTGCTGCCAATTTATACCTGCAAACTTCTTAATTTCATCTGCCCACCTAACCTTCTGTCTCCCCCTAACCCGCTTTCCTTCTCTAGGAATCCAGTTAGTTACTCTTAATGACCAGCGGTTATCCTGTCTACGTGCTACATGCCCGGCCCATGTCGATTTCCTCTTCTTTATTTCAACTATGATATCCTTAACCCCCGTTTGTCCCCTAATCCACTCCGCTCTCTTCTTGTCTCTTAAGATTACACCTACCATTTTTCTTTCCATTGCTCGCTGCGTCGTCCTCAATTTAAGCTGAACCCTCTTTGTGAGTCTCCAGGTTTCTGCTCCGTAGCTAAGTACCGGCAAGATACAGCTGTTATATACCTTCCTCTTAAAGGATAGTGGCAGTCTGCCTGTCATAATTTAAGAGTACTTGCCAAATGTGCCATTCTTATTCTTCTAGTTACTTAAATCTCGTGGCTCGGCTCTGCGGTTATTACCTGCCCTAAGTAGACATAGTCTTTTACAACTTGAAGTGCTCTCTTCCGAGGTTGTTGCACATTACTTTCGTTTTCTGCAGATTAATTTTAAGACCCACCTTTCCGCTCTCCTTGTGTAATTCCGTAATCATGAGTTGCAATTCGTCCCCTGAGTTACTCAGCAATGCTATGTCATCGGCGAAGCGCAGGTTACTAAGGTATTCTCCATTAACTCTTATCTCTAACTGTTCCCATTCTAGGCTTCTGAAAACCTCCTGTAAGCACGCGGTAAATAGCATTGGGGAGATTGTGTCCCCCTGCCTTACACCCTTCTTGATTGGTATTCTGTTGCTTTCTTTATGAAGCACTATGGTAGCAGTTTATCCCCTATAGATTTCTTCCAGAATGTTTATATATACTTCATCTACGCCCTGATTCCGCAGTGTCTGCATAACGGCTGATATTTCTACTGAATCAAACGCCTTCTCGTAATCTACGAAGGCTATGTATAGTGGTTGGTTATACTCTGAGCATTTCTCTATTAGCTGATTGATAGTATGAATGTGGTCAATTGTTGAGTAGCCTGTTCGAAATCCTGCTTCTTCCTTTGGTTGATTGAATTCTAATGTTTTCTTTACTCTGTTAGCAATTACCTTTGTAAATAGCTTGTACACTACAGAGAGCAAGCTGATCGGCCTGTAATTCTTCAAGTCCTTGTCATTTCCTTTCTTATGTATTAAGATGATGTTAGCGTTCTTCCAAGACTCTGGTACCCTTCCCGTCAGGAGACACCTCGTAAACAGAGTGGCTAGTTTTTCTAGCACAATCTGTCCTCCATCTTTCAGCAGATCTGATGTTACCTGATCTTCACCAGCAGCTTTACCTTTTTGCATGCTCTCCAAAGCTTTTCTGACTTCTTCTATCATTACTGGTGGGGTGTCATCTGGGTTACTGCTAGTTATTATCGTATTAAGGTCGTGGTTGTCTCGGCTACTGTACAGATTTCTGTAAAACTCCTCCGCTATTTTGACTATCCTATCCATATTGGTAGTTATTTTGCCTTCTTTGTCCCTTAGTGCATACATCCGACTTTTGCCTATCCCAAGTTTCCTCTTCACTGCTTTGAAGCTTCCTCCGTTTTTCAGAGCGTGTTCAATTCTCTCCATGTTATACCTTCTTACATCGCATACTTTACGTCTATTAATCAACTTCGAAAGCTCTGCCAGTTCTATTTCGTCTGTTGTACTTGACACTTTCATGATTTGACGCTTCTTAATTAGGTTCTTCGTTTCCTGGGAAAGCTTGCCAGTGTCCTGTCTAACTACCCTGCCTCCAACTTCCACTGCACACTCCGTAATGATACTCGTCAGATTATCATTCATTGTATCTACGTTAAGGTTGGTTTCCTCACTAAGGCCCGAGTACCTGTTCTGCAGCGACACTCTGAATTCCTGTACTTTCCCTCTCTGTGCTAGCTCATTGATTGGCTTCTTGCGTATCAGTTTCTGTCGTTCCTTCTTCAAGTCTAGGCGAATTCGAGACCGTACCATTCTATGGTCACTGCATCGTACCTTGCCAACCACTTCCACATCCTGCATGATTCCTGGGTGTGCAGTCATTATAAAGTTTATTTCGTTCTTATTTTCGCCATTAGGGCTCCTCCATGTCCACTTGCGGTTTTCTCGTTTTCGGTAGAAGGTATTCAAAATCCGTAAATTATTGCGTTCTGCGAATTCTACTAGTAGCTCTCCTCTGGCGTTTCTAGTACCGATGCCATAATCTCCTACTGCCTGGTCTCCAGCCTGCTTCTTCCCTACCTTTGCATTAAAGTCGCCCATCACTATAGTATACTGTGTTTTTACCTTACTTATTGCCGATTCCACGTCTTCATAGAAGCTTTCAACTGAAGCGTCATCATGGCTGGATGTAGGCGCGTAAGCCTGTACTACCTTCATCTTGTATCTTTTATTCAGTTTAATTACAATACCTACCACCCTTTCATTGATGCTATAATATTCCTTTATGTTGCCAGCTATGTTTCTGTGAATTAGGAACCCCACTCCCAGTTCTCTTCTGTCTGCCAAGCCCCGATAGCAAAGGACGTGCCCATTCTGTAGCACCGTATAAGCCTCATCTGTCCTCCTAACCTCACTGAGCCCTATTATATCCCATTTAACACCCTCTAGCTCCTCGAATAGTACAGCTAGACTTCCCTCACTAGATAAGGTTCTAGCGTTAAACGTTGCCAAGTTCAGGTTCCAATGGCGGCCTGTAGTCCAGAGATTCTTAGCACCCTCTGCTGCGTTGCAGATCTGACCGCCGCCGTAGTCTGTTGCTTCGCAGCTGCTGAGGACTGAGGGCCGTGAGTTATTTGGCGTATCCATGTGGGAGGTAGTGGCCAGATACTGCACCAGGGTGGCCAATCCTTCTCTGGTGAGGGAGTGCGTTCCCGGTGGTGGTTACCGGTGAGGCCGCACCTCAGGCCTCTTAATGCAGTTCGATCAACTCGCGGGTTTTTTTTTTTTTTTCGTTTTAAGCAGACACATACAAAAGGGCACAAGACAAGGCCGTTAAATAATAAAGACAAAACTGCAGAAGCAACACACCAGCCTAAACTGAGTTCCAACACGTGAATGTCTCACCGGCAAGAACTTGGAATGTTTGCGGGGCACGTCTGCGTAGGCACGATGCAACTGTGGGATGCCAGCGCTGTAGGAGTTCTCTGAAGAGCTGGGCAACGCTGAAGCATATGCGCAAACAAAGCAGCTTGGTGCCCAAAACTGTTGTCGACGAAGCTACGCAGACTTCTCTGACCCGTATATAAGGAAACGTTGACATTTGAGGCCAAGCGAGACAATCCACTCATACCCTTGAGCCCTGCCAGGCACTCTGGATGAAACCACGACCGTGACCCTGGCGAACCATCGTCTTCGCTGCCGAGCCAGCCGACACCACCTTGCTTGCTCAACTTCTTCCTCTATTGCCTGGCTCGTACCCACTATCCTCGTCTTTAACTTCCCGTCAGTCTTGCCATGGTGATCCTACCTGACAAATTCATCCGCTATGTTCATGCCAGCGTTCTCACAGCACAAAACACGACACCAGTGCACTTCTCCCATCACACAAGCCCCCCTTTCAAAAGGTTTGTTCCCAGAAACAATACTCCAGCGAAGTGCCCTATACGATTCCCTACTACACAACTCAGTGACAGCACGATTGAACACTACATACAACTGTGAATAACTCGACGTGATTTCTTACACATCCTCTAAAAGGTAAAGCGAAAGTATGAAGAGTACACACCATCTTCTTAGTTTTCCCTTCATAGAGGTTTTCTATGATTTAAAGGGACACTAATGTCAAATGACAATTTATGTCAGAGTGAAAGCCCCATGTTTGACAACATCTAAAATGACAATACAGTTAAACCTGGATATAACTAAATTGCTAAATTCCCGGAAAAATTCGTTATATAAAGGATTTTGTTATATGCAGGTTTTGTACAAAAATTTAAAAATAAACCTGCAATTTAAACAAAAAGGGGACTGGGGACTGAAGGCAAAGCTAACCAAAACACCTATTTTACAGTAAAAAGCTGCATTATTATTGCGTTACCAATTATCGCCGTCACCGCCATGTTCCGTAACAAGTCCAAATTAATAATACAAATTACCCCGCGCATTGTAACTTTCACGAGCGGGTGAAAGTGTGCGAGGGCTGCTGAAGCAGAAATCAAATGAGTCGGCCAATCCCTATCACCGGAAAGGGGCATAACATCTCCTGCGTGTTTTTAGAAGTGCCGTCAAAGGCTCAAACAAAAAGTAAACCTTCCATCTTGAACGAGCATGAAACGCGGGAAGGGGGGATCGCTTGAGTAGCAATAATGAACTTGAATATTAAGGGTGGTCGTTATTGCTGGCATGCTTGCTATCTCAGCGAGTATCATTGTGGTCTCAACGCGAAAGGACTTTGTGAAAAGAGCACTTCTCCCTGGAGCGGC